ATTATTTGCTTTGGTAGTTATTATTATCATCATTTTAGGCATTAGAAACTCTGGAAGGAAGAATAGTTTCATTCCATGGTGATAAAAGCATGTTCCCCTACAGATAACAAAGACTGGGAGTTGACCTAGGACAGAACTCTTGCATTTGTTTGAAATACAAAAATCAAAAGCAAATGGTGCATCATGGTAGAAACAGTCTTCTGCAAGTTTCTTCACACTTGCTCTTACCTTTCCTGGTCTTAGGTGTCCACATAGGTCATCTGGGGACAAAGCTACTTGACTCAAAAGCATTAAGGGTAATTAGACTGCTTTTAAAGCTATTTTGGATTCTCTCTTAGAATAGTGACAACAAAAGCAGGTTGTTTCTTTAAGAAATGTAATGCTTCCAATACCGACAAACTAGATCTACTTAACCTTCACCAGTGCAACTCACAAACAAACAAGATAACTTTCCGGGAATACCACATCTCATCCCACATGGGAGGATTTACTCAGTGGCCAAAGGTAAAGTCAATGTGAAGAGAGGAGGTAACACCAAAACAAAGCCTCCAGCACTACGGTGTATCACTATTCAAAGAGATTAATCACATTTTTCATTGTACTATTCCACATTTTATAGTAATAAAGGCAATATAATCATTCCATCCAAGGTCAATGATTGGGAGGCAGGAGGCGCTTAAATATGCATTGTGGAATGAATAGACGCATGACCACTGGCATTTTAGAGAAGAGGGAACAAGTTACAGAGACCTAAAGGGGCTCATCCTGCATTTCACCACATATAAGGGGGAAATCAGTTTTTAATTTGCCCATGATCCTCAGGCTGTGTCCAGATAACTGACTTTACTTTCTTATTTTCTTTCTGCAGCAAAATCTACCTGCAAATGATCCTGCACTGGTTCAGAACTGCAAAGATCCACCAGTCACCATGCACATGTCACCAAGGCAGTAAGGACATTGGCTCTGGAGCCAGGAGGACTGGATTCTTTATCTCAACTCATGATACTTAGAGACTGGAGACAGGGAACTTACCCTTGATGAATTGGCGACAGCAGTATTATCTACCTTATAGAATTGTTGTAATGGAAATAGTCTATGTATTTAAACTCCTACTAAGTGCTTGACAGATATGAAATATTATTTTATTCTTATTAGAAATTATGAATTTTTAAAACATGTCAGTGTCATAAAAAACAAAGAAAGGTTGAGGATAATGAAGGGGACTTGACAACTGAGTGCAGTAGATGATCCCAGATTGTATCCTGTACCAAATTAAAAAATGCTATAACAAACATTATTGCATCAGTTGACAACACGGTTACAATACTTGAATCTACTGTCTGTATTATAATGTCAAATTTACTGAAGTTGATACATGTGCTGTGATTATGCATTGAGAAATAAAGGCCTATGATATATGCAACTTTCTCTCCAATGATTCAAGTGAGAGAAAAAGAGAAAACAACGAAGCCTATGGAACAAAATGCTAATAGGTGAATATGAATAAAAGGTAGACAATAGGGAGTTCTTTGTACTGTTCTTGCAACTTTTTCTGTAAGTTTGAAATTACTGCAAAGTAAAAGGTTAGAAGAAGAAGTACTGTACCAAAAGTTCAAGTCTAATTCAGAACAGTCCAGTCTCCTATAGTTTTATGATGTTGATTGTTCCCACTGCTATGTTAGCTTAGATAGCACTCTATTATAAAATCTCTTCTAGACAGTCAAACTTTCCCAATATCCTTCTTGAACAGTGCCTAATGAATAAAACAAGAAATTGTCCAGAACCCTTCAGAAAAGGCAAAAGAAATCCCTTTTAAGTGTTCTTCTCCAGGTGGGTCCCCTCTTCCTACAAGGTCTCTTGGCAGTGGTTTATAATCCTTCTGTGATTTGGCCTTTGTCCACTTCATTCTGTCACCATTCTGCCCCTAATTCTCCATATTCTGAACATAATGGCTTTCTGTGGGTTACTCTGACATGCCAGACTTCCTTCTTTGGAGCACTTGCACCTGCTATTCCCTTCCAGCGGGATGTTCTGTTCCCTGATCTCTGGTGGTTGGAGCCTTGTTGTCATTCAGACTTGAAAGCAAATGTTACAACTTAGAAGTGACCTTCCTTGATATCCCTACTCATTCCATTTATTAGTCATCTTAGAGCTTAGAATGCTGCCTGGGATAAAGCAAGAGCTCAGGGAGCATCACTCATGAACAAATTAAGTCACACTATTCACAAGACAACTTGGGTTACCCTTCTCTGCCTCACTCACATTGTTTATATTCCCATTACGTGGTCACTGAAAGATAGTTGTCTGCAAATCTGTCTCTCCACTAAATTTTAAAGTTCTTCTTCCTCCAGTTTCCAGTGCCTGTCTCAACACATTTCCAAGCACCAATAATTCAAATTAGCAAAGACTCATAGTCCCAAAGCTTAAAGAAACTTTCACATTGTAACTTTTCACCCTCCTAATGCTAAACTGGTAGCAAAAAATAACAATTGGAGGTAACAGTTATTGAGTACTTACTATGACTCAGCCCCTATAATAAGTGCTTAAAATGTTTCATCTTCTTAAATCTTCATTATAACTTTGTTAGCAAAGGATTATCATTATTCTCTTTTTAGAGGGAAGAACCTGAGGCTCAGAGAGGTTAAATAATTTGCTCTAGGGTTCACAGCAGTGGCAGAGGCACAACTCTAATCCAGGCAGTGGATCCCTAAAGCCCGGGCTCTTTACCACTCTAGGATGCCTATAGAAAATGTGGAGAACTGTTCATTCTTTCCACTCCCACGCTGCTGAACTGATCTATCCATCACCACATGGACCCTTGCACATGTGATAACAAGTTGACCTTCCCCCCAGGGTGTCTGCTCAAGTGCCATACCACAAAGGGCATCATTGAAAGAGTTCATTGACCAAAATCATTCTCACCCATTGCACTAGAGTGACTAAAAATCCTTCATCAGGGAGCCTTTCTTTATGAACTGCAAAATCCCTCTTTAAAACCCAAATATTATCAAAAGGGTTAATTGCTTACGGCTAGCATGAGTCAGAAGCATTTTGAAGTGAATTACTCAGATTATCCAGCAGGGCCCTGAGGAATGGAACCCATCCAATTAAGGTTAAGTCATGAAAAAGAGAAAATTTCAAGAAACATCTAGCAGGTATCATCTTTTAAGACCCGATCAAGGTCGGGTGCAAGGACAAGCATTCACATATCTGTAGTAAATGGTAGGGAGGGAGTCACAGGAGTCAGGTTGGACTCTGAAGAAAACCCTTCAGATGATATGGGAAATCTTCATCTTCTGCAAAGTGTTGCTTTAGAACCACTCCTAAACAATAGCAGTGCTAAAGAGTTATACACAGGCAGCAAAGCAAAAACCATAGATCAGAGGTAGATGCCTGCTCCATTCAGCTACAGAATACTGGTCTTCATCAAATTAGAGCCAACAAAGGGCTAGATAGAGGCCAACAAAGCCAATCATTGTCTAAAAAAGCAGATGTTCCTGCCACCCATAACATTACAGAATCAGGGAAAGGATTTCCAGGCACTGTGTACACTTGAAAACACTTCTCCCACCTCTGGCTGACCTGTTTTAGTACCTGTTTCCTCCTCTGGACCCTCAACCCTCCACAAAAGGACACTGAAGCTGCTTCATACACGACTGGGTATCTTCAGCCCTGGGTCACTTTAAGTCAGGCAGCCTCCAGGGGCTGCCAGGATGATAGATGAAATCCCCGGAGGCAAGAGGAAAACTGCAGGCTGGGCGCCCTCTAAAGTGGGAACCACTGCCATAACCTCATTAAATTTGGCAGGTTGGACAGAGCAAGGTTTTTGACTGAGTTGGAGACCATGGGACCACCGGGATCTTGGGGGCCAACGGGCCCTCCGGGGACAAAGACAGCTTGTCTAGTTTCTCCAACGTGAAGGTAACAGTATAACCATCGCAAGATGATGTTTCCCAAGACTTAGTCACTTGAGGACCTCTCTTCACGTCTGTTTCCACATCTCCATCCTCACCTGGGCTCTATCAAACACTTCTCTTTATCTGGACGAGATTTTTGCATTTAAATAGATTTGTTTTGAAAGGAAATTTTCTATCACTGTGAAATCGCTCGGTTTAAGGGAACAGTTTTCCTTAACACTAATGAAAACACTTAAAACCACGTTCGTCCACGTGCCATCCCCAAATCATCGCTGTGACCTGGAGTGGCACCATCCAAAGGAGCAGCCTTGGGACCCACAAGCCACCCCGGAGGGCCTCAGGGGTTCGAACCCGGGCTTGACCTGCATGTCCTGCCTCCTCCCGGTAACCGAGCGTACCGTCGCGGGAACGCATCTGCACACCCCTCGCCCACGTCCCCTGGGCGCCCCTCCCCTTCAGCGGCACGTTTCCTGTCAAAACAAACCCTTGGGGGAGGGGACAGCGGAGGCCGAGGCGAGTGCCGAGGAAACCCCGGCAACGAACCCCAAACACACGATCGGAGCCCCTCCCGGCCCTGACCACGGCTCGGTTCACCCACCCCAGTCGGACCAGCGGTCGCAGGCGACAAGGTGCCCCCTTCCCGGAGCCCGGGTGATGGGAAGCCGCTCGCGGAGCCCTCGCTGGCACGGGCCCAGCGGGAGGTAAACAGAGGCCAAGCGGCCACGACCCCGACCCTTCCAGGGCCCGAAGCCCGCGGCCGCCCCAACACCCGCCGCGGCCACTCGGTGCCCGCGCCCCGCTCCCACGCGGGACGGCGGTTCGAGGTCAAACAAGGGATATGGGGAGGGGGTTGGGGAAGCGAGAAGCCGGGCTCTACCGCCCCTGGCCGCGGGTCCCAGGACGCAGCTCCGAGGTGAGGTGGGGGAGGCCGTCGGGCAGCTACTGGGGTGAGGCGTCCCCCTCTGCCAACCTGGCCGGTCACCTCAGAGCCCGCGACCCCTTCCCCGGGGATGGTACGCACCGGGTCCGGCACGGAGACAGGCGGAGGAGAAAGACGACTGAGGGAGCCCTCGTCAGGGATCTTTGAGTGTTCCCTCGCCCAGGACCGCACAAACACCTTGGAAACTCACGAGTCCAACAACCCTCAGCCTCCCCGGCCCCCCCACGCGGTATTTAAAGGGCCGGGAGGGACTCTAGAGAGGCAGCCACGGAGTGGCCACCACGTTAGTGGAGTGGGGGGGAAAGACCGCATGAAGGAGAGGAGTAAATCTAGGGGCACTTCAGCTTTGATGTCAGAGTTCTGACAGACCTGATCTCATAGGAAACATCTGCCTCAGCTTCGAATGAAAGAGACCCAGGAGAGCTTGGATTTGGGGTATTTTGGATGACAGAGGGAACGGTTCCCCCCCGTGGGCTGCGAGTGGTGCAGTCCGGGTACTGCTAGGGGCGGGGAGAAGAGTGTTTACGGAACTGGGGCAGCCCTGCCTCCCAAGCGCCCGGTATTGGAGGCGGGACCTGTTGGGGCTCTGGGGGCGGGGCCAGTCGAGGCGCTGGGGGGCGGAGCGGAGCCGGGATTCTGGGGGCGGGGCGGAGCCGCCCGCGGACAGTCCCATGAAGCCCTGAATTGACCCTACTGGTCTACAGGGCGTCACACCATCGTGAGCAGTGCAGTAAACTGTCTAGCTGCAGGTGGAACTTTTACGACCCGAACACCCCTCATCTAGACCAGGCGATCCAAATTAAGTTCCCACTATCACACGGTCTACACAGAGACAATCTAAGCCACTACCGGGGACGAAGAACATTCCTACGCACGTCAGCAACCAAATTGTCATCTATGTTTGTGTCTGCACCTACACAGAAACAGGAGTCCAGATTTGCATATGACTGGACAGGACGATTAGCTCCTGGGAGTCACACCCACTCAGGCTCTCTAAAGACGTTAACTTCGTGTGCGCGCAAAAGATAAAGCGTCTAACTTCCCCTAGGGTTCTTGGCAACACCTATCTCCGAGAGAAGTTTCAGAAGTTTCGACAGTGGTTAATGTAAATAAGCAGTCCCAGAGGAGCTCTGTGCGGTCAGGCAGAGCTGGGTGTGCTTCCGAGTCTACAGAAACACCCTTCCCCCAACTGCACACAGGAAAACTGCATCTTCTGCCAGGTGTAAATTGGGGGTCATTTGAGAGATAGAGTCATGTAAGAATGTGAGTGACTTTTGTATAGGCTCAAGTACTTTCATTTAGTGCTGAAATCATGTCTGGTTTGGTGGAGGGAAAATTGGTTCTATTAGTAGGAAAAAACAAAACAAAACAGGCAACATTTAAAAGGAGGATGGAAAGTCGGTTAACCTAGATGGAACCATTCAGTGTTAAAAAATGGCCCTATCTTGGGTTCAAACCCTCCCTCTGACATTTACTGCTATGAGATCTTGGTGAATGGGAAAATATTATAACTGTCTAACTGGGGCTATTGTGAAGATGGAATGAGATAAAGCATGTAAAGTGCTTAGGGTTGTACACGGTAAGCACTCAATCAGTGCTAGTTGCTGAAACTATTTGGCAAACCACTCTGAATAACCTTAGCTGGTGATCTGAATAAATTTGTATTTGTGTCCCCTAATGCCACTCTCTCCTCCCTTCTCCTAAAATACACAACTGGGTACAAATCAAGAGATTAAAGAGAAAATGCTATTGTCACCCAGGTTCTTTCCTATGAACCTAGCTTATGTCGTTTGTTGGAATCAGAAGTCAGGTTGACAGAAGCCTCTAATTTCAATTCTTGCCAAATAACCACCACCACACAACTGCCATCACCACCCTAGAGAGTCTACAATAGAAAGATTAACTAAAAATATCCCCCAAACTTCTGGACACTGTGGCAATGACACATGGTAGCTTTGCTTTCTTTGCTTGCTTTGCAGGAGCTTGTGAAGTATTGTTTTGCCATATTACATAACATGAAGCAGGTACGCATGAGTCAGGAGAGTTGTCCAGTCTATTGGGTCACCAGCTGCCTGATCCTGGGCATGACATGTATTTTAAAGCTCACATATGTGATTCTCAAAGCCACAAGGAAGCAATTTTTGTCAAAACAGATGAGTCAAGTTTCAGCATCTGCTGGGGTGAGAACTTTGAGGCATAAAAGGCAGGGTAACATCAGAGACCCATGCCAGAGAGAAAAATCTCCTGGAAAAATAATCTTCTATTACATCAACATTAAATAACTTACTACTCGGAAACCTCTTGGTCAGTTAACCTCTTGGTCAGGAAACCTCCTGACCAATTGCCCTTTCTGGCTTGTATGTAAAAGCACTTTGAAATATAGTCCTGAAAAATATTAGGCAGCTTCCTTAAAAAAACAGAGAGAGCCTTGTATCATATTCTTACCAGAAGAGCTTAGGCAGTCATAAAATAAAATCCTCCTTGCACAGATTAGTTCATGACCTTCTGAAAAAAAAAAATCTGAAAAGGCAACCTCTTTAGTAAGTAAAATAATTAGCTGTTTATGTGAAGAAGATATATTATCACACTTATTTTTTTTTTAACTTTTCATTTTTGAAGCACTTCAAGAACTCATGGTAATGCAGTTTGCTTTCCCTGTAAACTACACAATAGATTAAATTTGACCTATTGCCTTTGGCAGATCGACATTTTTACTCAGCAAAAAAATTTAAAGACTTCTTTTGACACATCTTAAATCTGAGTTTTAAGTTACAGTGAATCCTTGAGTAACTCAGAAGATCCAAAAATGTAATTTTAATGTGGATTTGCAACCTCTTAGCTGCTTAACGTTTATAGTGGGGTTGCATGTGTGCTGATCTCAGTTCAGTTCAGTCACTCAGTCATGTCTAACTCTTTGCAACCCCATGGGCTGCAGCACACCAGGCTTTCCTGTCCATCACCAACTCCCAGAGCCTACTCAAACTCATGTCCATCGCGTAGATGATGCCATCCAACCATCTCAACCTCTGTCTTGCCCTTCTCCTCCTGCCTTCAATCTTTCCCAGCATCAATGTAATGCAAATTCAACCTGACATCAGTGAGATGTGGAGTAGGGAGCACAAAAGCATAGTTGGAACCCCAGCAGTGATGTTAACTCCTTCTTCTCTCTATGGGAGTTGTGAGGCTTCGCTTCTTGAGTTGATGTCAGTTTCCAAGTTTCTCATTACAGATCCAAGCTCCTTATCCAAGGCTAGCTTCTTGCGCATGCATTGGCTCATGACCCTATGCTTAGAGGAGCCTCATACTTAATTTAAGGCTCTGCTGCTGCCTACTTGAAATTCTCACTCATTTTTGAACATGGAGCTCTGCATTTTCATTTTCCATGGGACCTTGAAAATGGTGTCACTGGTCCTGACTTCACCATACAGAATATGAGTCTAGTGTTCGAAGGTACTTATCTTCCCTTTTAATCCATCCCCAAATTCAAGTCAATTATTTTATCTACTGCTCAAGTGAAGAAACAGTTATCTGTTTCCAGGAATTCTCTGGTTTCCCAGTGGTTAGGACTCATTGCTTTCACTCCCTGGCCAGATCATATTGTTTTTGTTGCTGCTGTTGTTTTGGGTTTTTTTTGGTTGCACCAAGTGGTTTGCGGGAACCTAGTTCCCTAACCAGAGACCAAACCCAGGTCCCCTGCAGTGAAAGCCCAGAGTCCTAACCACTGGACTTCCAGGGAATTCCCTGGGCCCAGGTAGGACACTAGATTAGTAAACTAAGATCCCACAAACCACAAGCGTGGCCAAAAACAAACAAATCAACCCCATAAATCAGTTTCCATTCTGGAGAAAGAAAAAAAAAACCACCAAAAAACTAGGTGTTTCCTAGGTCTTATGGTCCATTTGAGGAATTTTCAAGGATAACTTTGACTTTACATGATTTTTACCTATGGTCTCTCTTTAGAACCTAACCCCTCACATAATATATGACTTCAGTGTAAACAGAAAAATGTATTCAATGGAATTCCATCTCTTTTTCTCTCCCTTGTCCATCTTAAGGTACTAAGAAGGACTAAAAATCGATAAAGTGGGAAAAAAGTCAATAGAAAGTAGAAGAGAGGAAAATAATTTGGCTAAAATATGAATTAGATGATTGATCACTGCATGTTCAAAATTTATCCACAACTTTTTGACAGATTTTGTCATTATTTTTTCTTTTGGTCTTGAATATAAGGCAGATTTAGATTATTGACTGGTTTTGAGAGTGAATCAAAATATTGATTCTTTTTTAAAAATAATTAATTTACTTATTTTAATTAGAGGTAATCACAATATTGTGATTGTTTTTGCCATACGTCAATATGAATCAGCCATAGGCATACAAAATGTTGATTCTTGATCAAGTTTCCAAAACACCAAAACCAGTTTTTCCCCTGACTCCACGGAACCGAGTTGGTGTAAAATTGGAGATTATTTCTCATTCCAATTGCCTCTACCATCACACAGAGCATACTAAAAAGAAAACCAGCCTTAATACTCTCCTTTACCCGCCTCCATGAGTCCTTTCCACTTACCTGGGAAACACAGTCCTCTCCTGGAAAACAAAAAGGACTGTGAGGGCCAACAGAGAAGAGGACTCTGGGCAGGAAGTGGGAGGGGCCAAAGGGAGTTGAAGCTCAGAGGAGCACGTGAGAGGTCCAAGAGGTGATGGCTCAGAGCTCAGCCAAGACGGTCCTGCTCTTCTACTCCACCCCCAGGCCAGCAGCCAGCTGTCTTCTAAATGGCTTCCCAGTCCTGTTCAACCATGGATGAAGATTTAGGCCCTGTTGTATGGCAGAAACTAATACAACATTGTAAAAAATTTTTTAATATATTTAAATAAAAAATAGAAAAATAAGCAATTGAAGCACCCAATGGAGTGGGGAAAGGGCTTCTAAAATAGAAGGGGACTTCCCTGACAGTCCAGTGGTTAAGACTTCACCTTCTAATGCAGGGAGTGCTGGTTCAATCAATCCCTGATTGGGGAGCTAAAATTCCCACTTGCCTCATGGCCAAAAAACTAAAACGTAAAACAGAAACAATGTTTGTAACAAATTCAAATTCAAAATTGGTTGTAACAAATTCAAATTAAAAAATGGTCCATGTTAAAAAAAAAAAACTTTAAAAATTAAAAAAAAAAAAAAATAAAGGCAAAGCCCAGAAGACATAAAGGAAAAGATTAAGAAACATGACTCTTCAGACAGTGTTCAACATTAAAGCATGAATTATAGAACAGTCACTGTGTTGTGATATCATTTATACTTGATTGAGAGCTGTCAGTAGAAGGCCCCTGTAAGTATTTTGTATATATGAAATGCATAGAAATGAGATGAAAAGTTAGCCTCTCAATTGTTTAGGAAGCAAGTTGGGAGATGTTTCTCATTTATTCTACATGCATACAAATGGCTTTTTTTTTTTTAACAATGAGAATGTATTCATTCATACATTATTAATGTAATTTCACACGCCTCACAGTGATAACTGCTCTTATCATTGAATGTCCTACCTTATTGATGGAGGGCTATTAACACCATACAGTAATATTCCCATCTCCTTTGTATTCACATTCTATAAAGTCATGATAAGAAAAGGAGCTTTTTATGTAAACTATGGAAAGCAATAGATTTGCAAAAGGCCCTTCAGTAAGGTATGTCAAAATTATTCGTGCTGGGGGGCTTGGAATAATAATATTTATTTCTCAAGTTGTTCCCTTCAGGCCCAATTATTAGTCAAAGTGCAAGGAGTTCACTTTGGCTTTAAAAGATGTTTGCTCCACCAACAACCACTTAAGGGTTTCTTCCCTTTGATAATAGAGCAAAGTGGTATGGAACTTAAATAACTGGATTCTTTCTGAGGATAAAAAATTGAGAGACCTGAACGTTTAGGTGTCGGTACAATAGCTTTTGCCCAAGTTCCAGGGGGTTCTAGTGGAAAGTATTATAGGGTTTATGACTGAGCAAAAAGCTATTCAGTGACTCACTGAACTGGTCAAGAATAGAAACCAAAACTCATTTCATGGCTTCTCTCCACACACACAGAGAGTCACATGCAAGGTATTACCTATTGGCATAATTATCTAACTTCCATAACAACATGTCAACAAGCATACCACACTGTATCAATTAAGTGCCCAAAGTATTTATAATCACAGTCCATTATTCTGGAAGGTTGCTTGGACCAGGTACTGGGATGGCTGGCTTTGCCTTCCAGATAGCGAAAAGAACGAAATGGTGCCAACTCTCCTAAAATATGAAGCTGTCTATGTGTCTCTCGTATGTATATATGAAGCAGTCAAAGAAAGAACAAAGAAAATTGTAAATTCTGCTACAAGAAAAGCAGCAAAGTGTTTCTGATTGATTCTCTGATAGAGATTGTTCATGTTACAGGTGTGTGATGGAGTGTCTCCTGCCATGTCTGTAAACAAGAAGGTCACAGCCATCCGTGGTTCCAGCCCTCCAAATATGAGGGCCCCCAGAAGGGAGAACAATGGGATGTGGGTAGGGGAGATGTGAAAATGAAGGATGCTGGCCCCAGGTAGCTCAGATGCGTATGAAAGTGTCAGGCAAGTGTATGCTCCTCGGTTCTTTGTCTCATCACAACAAAGATTTGGAGTGACGGACCTTGAAGCCCCCTCGGCGGGTCA